AAAAAAATCAGCTAGGTACTATTATGACGAATAACAATGAATTCCATATGTAATACATGATAACCAGCTTCAATTCCCTACAAGGAATGCACAAAAATAGGGAAAATGTCAACTGGGGAAATGAAGAAGACGGATGGTTTCAATCTCCAATGCCAAAAAATCTACCATGTTGTCTGTCCGGATTGGGGACCTGCAAAAGAACAGGTTTGCTTGGTCTAATTTCCTCCATTATTTCTTTTTCTTTTTGTCTCTCTATTTTATCAAAACTGTATTTAATTCCAATATGATTTAATTCTTGCTTTCTCTAGATCTTTGATACATGTATCATGTCTGTAGCCTTGTCGAACTTGTGTGCAATGTAAGAACACATGACAAAACGACCTCAATACGATGTGAATGCAAGAGTTTCCAAGCTCTTTCGAGGCCAAAAGATAGTTGTTGGGGTTTAAGCCTTCACTTATTGCAGTATTTTATTCCAGACGCTGTCCAGGTTAATGTCACAGTGTTTAGAACAAGCACACCAGGATGGAGTATCATCTATAGCATTTCCTGCTCTTGGAACCGGGAACCTGAAATTTCCCAAAGATGTTGTGGCTGACGTCATGTTTAAGGAGGCCTTGCAATTCAGTGCAAAGAACTCGCAGACCAAAGTCAAGGCAAGCAGTCTGTTTGGAAATAATGCACTTATTTCTTACTCAATGAATTTTATTTCTTATTCAATTATATTTTAGCAGTGAGTCCCTTTTTCTGGCATGTAAAGACGGACACGCACTGCTGTACTCGTAGCCATTTTGTTTTAAAGGTCTTATTAATTTCAACGCATGTATTCTTTTATTTCATTTTTATTTTGTGCCTCACAGGAGATTCGATTTGTTCTTTATCCTCAAGATACACAAACTATCACTGCTTTTAAGATGAAATTGTTCGAAGTACAGGGACGGCCCAAAACTGTGCATTTTCGTCGTCGAAAAGGTATGTATTATACTGATTTTCAATACATTAAGTTAAAGACATTCATTATTAAATATAATTCATCAGCGTTTTTCTGAAGAGAAATCTGTCACTACTCGATATGAACAATCTGAAAACAATCTGAAAGAACGCATAGTGTTTGCTAATCAAACAGAAGTTGTACGTTGCAAATACAGTGTACACATATCACTTCTTCGTCGTGATTTATGGGTGTTAGGGTGTGTATATTAGTTAAAGATATATTGTTGATTAAGGCTGTATTCCCAGAGCTTTTAGATCGATCTATCCCCGCGGAGAGTCTCACTAGATTACTGTCAGATTATCCGGCTTAAATGTCCGTCCCGCCTACTACAAGCTGTAAGGGGGTAATTAACTTTTGTGTCCGCTCGGCTGACAGCTATTTAGCGTGAACCCCCAGGGAGTTAGGTCGATCTAAAGTAGATCGATCTAATCTCTGGAAATGGGGTCTAAGGGTCAAAGGTGTATTTATTTCTCTTTATTTCAATTATCTCTTATTTGATATTTTATAGGCTGCATCATATTTTCATTTTCTTGGTAAATGTAAATCGTATTAAAGGGATAACAACTGTTCCTTTTGGCCAAAAAAATAAAATTTCCTGGGATAAATGGCAATTTTCCCGTACTTACCAATGGTTAATTAATCCATTTCTACATTCAAAATTAGTCACTGTTTTTTTTTTCTTAAATTTTTTTTTTTTTTTTTGTGTAATAATCTCTTAGGAGATTGATGCAGAGTATTGCCATCTATGGAGTTCGCGTGGTCAGATGGCAATCACAGATTTCAGATTAACTGCTATAAGTGTGTTTTTCTGTGGTAAAATAGAATATATTATATTTCTGTGTATTGTTTGCAATGTATTTATTGTGAAAATAGATCTCAAACGAAGAGCTGTTATCCCTTTAATTTTCATGAATGTTATGGAAAATCATGTAAAAGAAACAAAACATTTTCAGTTTATAGGAACAACGTCAAGATAATTATTTTAATCAGATTAGGAGATTTGCCCAATTTGATCACTTTTCTTATAAATTGCAGGCATAACAATGCAATTGGAAAAGCCTAACTTTATGGAGCTGTCTTGTAATGCAGTAACTGTGCAAGTCAAGCAGGGCAATGTTATGGAAGATACTGTTGATATTATTGTGAATACTGTTGACCCACAACTCAGTAAGTATTACTCGTTTACCAGGAATCTCATAGAATGGATGGGGTAGAGGATATATGACATAAAAGTCACAGAATGAAGTCTTTTTTATGGAACATAATATAATTTCAATTTTTTTTATATTCTCGGATATTACAATCATTTTCCCATAATCGTTATGGTGTGTGTACATTAAAACCAATAACGTTCACGGAATAAGGCTTCATAAACTGTCTAACTTGTTTTTATCAAGATGTCATTACAAATGGCTATTGTACAATGCTTGAGTTGTATTGTCATATCTTTATTAGCTTTATATTTTTTGCATGCAGATATGGGGGTGCTTGGGAAGCATTTGGTAAAAGCTGGAGGTAACGATATCAAGAAAGAACTACAAACTAAAAAGAGACATGCACAGAATGGGGCGGTTCTAGATACAAGTAAATGCATTTTCTATTTTAAGTGTCCACACGACAGTCTGTAGCACTTGATTCTTTTTGAATAGTTTTAATATATCTTGATTACATAAGCGGACGGATAAGTTCTACCACATACAGCTACTTTTTCATTCCAAACTATTGAAATAATCTGCAATTGAAATATGAAAATTTGTCTTTTATTGTAGCCCCCGGCAAACTTCCTTTTAAGAGAATTTACCACGTGGTTATTCCACCAGCCAATCAGATTCATCGAAGCATTCAGCAGTGCTTACTTTTGGCTGAGAAATTCGGATTTTCTTCAATCGCTTTTCCTGCCATAGGAACAGGTATGTTCAAACACTTTGCCCGTTCGCAAAGATGACACCAACCGATATGTAAATGTTTCATTTAAATGTAGCATACCGTGTATATTCATGCACCAGTTTATGCATCACTACGTTTGGATTTGGATTTTTTTTACATTTTTCATGTGATTGTGAATGTGCAACTTATGGTTTATCCGAATTCGTTTTCCAGGTAAAGCTAACTTGGATCCAGCGAATTGTGCCAAAGAGACACTGAGTGGTATATTTCAGACCCTCCAGGAAAATAACATTGAAAGTTTGAAGATGATTTGTGTTACGGTTTACGACCAGGGGCAAATTCCGATTTTTATAGACGAAGCAAGAGCTCAGAGTACAGTTACAGGCAGAACAAGAAAAGGTATTTTTCTGTACTGGTACATTCTGAAAACACCATTATGTGCTTTGATTCAGTTGTTTTGTAAATCCCGGTGAATCAAAAACCCAGTAAGGCTTAAAGTTTTTGTCACAAACTTGTACTTTAACTTTATTATCCCAAAATTTATTGATATATGTTTGGTTTATTTGTAGCGGTATCGGACAGGCCTACCATTGACAGAATGAATTCAACAGGTTTTCCCCTATAAAATATAGTAGGATATAAGAACCATCAGAGCAGCAAATGATTTTTACTGGAGCTTCATTTATGAACACGTTGTGTGATGATGATGTTTTACTTGTCATTTCTTATCCACTGTTAGTTGGTATTATAAAAACTTGATATACCTTAACTGCATTTGTTTTTGCATTCCATTGATCAATTGTACATGTAGGTCGTCGCCAATCCATGCGCCAACGCCAAAGCCTTACAGCTTTACAAAGAGTGGTACTTGATGTATATGGAGCCAGCGATAAAGTTGCCGAAACAGACGAGGACATTGCAGCTTTTATTAAACAGAACATCCAAAAGGTACTCAGGTTTTAGTGTTTTACTTGGTTCGGGTTTCAGAATTCTGTTCGTTTAGGATTCTTACAGATAACAAGTACCCCTGAGTATTTCGATATAGCCACTGAATAATTTGCAAAGCGACGAGAATAGGCCTTTAAATGCATGTAAAACAAATGCCAGTAATATAGATATGTGATTTTTTATTGTAATTATTGTAAACAGGAAACCATTGAGTTGAAGGGACATACAATTACACAAGCTGACATAGCAGAAATACGAGACCTTGAGGTTGAACGAGGAGTAACAGCCACCATAGGTAAGACATAGGGTTGTTAAAGCCTATTCTCATGAGCCTTTGCAAATGGCATTTAAATTTTTTTTTCATTAAAATATACCCCAGTGTGGTGATTACGAAGCTACATAATTCATTTGTACATGTTTACACAACAGAATACTGCACTTATCTAAGACCAGAGCTCGAAAAAAAAAAAAAAAAAAAAACAATTACTGTACCCAGGTTAATATATTTTTTAGTTTTAATCCTTATACATTATTTAACATTATTACAGATACAAATACGTCAACAATATCGATTGTGGGATGTCCTGTGGATGTTTCTCCGACTGTCAGCACTATCTACAAAATAATCCATAAGAAGATAGAAGACAGAGCAGAGGAGGACAAAGCTGCAGCACTCCAGCAGAAAATTCAGTGGTAAGTATATATTTCCATGTTTTTTTTTTTTTTATTTACTCTTCGCTTTTCAGGCGTGTTCCCACATTTACTGTGTTTCACAACAGAAGACTGGTATATTCATTTCTGGATCAATTTTTTTCACTCCACGAAAAATGTACAACAGTCGATCCACTGAATACCCGGTTCACAAAATTACTATTTCATTCTTAAATAAATCAGGTGCAGTGTTCCTATCTCTATTTGTACTTTTATTCGACCTTTAATTTATTTTACAAAGTTTCGTCATATTTTGTTTTGTCGTGGAATTATTTGCCCCCAATGCATCGTTGAACAAAGGACATACTTTGCCTTATCAACGATATTATATCTGAAGTAAGGTTTTTAAGATAAATCACAGGGAGGGCTTCAAAGTGCTTATGATGTCATGAAATTGGAGATCGAAACGGTGTCCGTGAGTGCTCAGGTTAAGGGTATATGAAAAACCGATTTTGCAAATTTACCCCAAAATCGCAAACATGACGTCACCGGTAAAAATGACATTTGCAAAAATACAAAGGCATTTAGTCAGTGAACACTGGCATTTGTTTATTATCCCAAACATACATGTTAGGATAGCAATTAGGGAATATTTGTCTTACCCTGTCCTTACATTACCCTACACTTCAAACAGAGGCATACACAATAACTGCCATTGTGGAAAACAATTGGATTTATTTATTTTTTGTAGGTGTTGGTTAGCTGCTAAAGATCAGAGTAGGGAGCCTTTTGATAAAATGACAAACTATCGTGTGGAATTGGCTCACAGAGCAAGGGAAGGGTCAGTGGTGTACGAGATAGAAGGCAGTCCTTGTAAGTTGGATTTTAGCACTATGACAGAGACGGATTGCAGTAATGACATTGTTACCCAGGTTATACGAGAAGTCAAAGGTAGGATCATAATTTTTATGAATTCTGTATATGGTACCACGCCATGGAGCTCTTTACCTAAGGCGTTTCTTTTTCAACTGTATTTGCCTGTTAACTGTGCATCTGAAAACAAAAATTGTCAAGGTTTGGTATACCCCATTTTATCATTAATTTGTGCAAAAAATTATATTCAGGCATTTTGTGCATTGCTTTCGGTTGCAGATCCTTCCTTACCTTCTCATTGGTCACCTCAACCACGTGACAGTGATATCCCGCATGCTGTGCATCAAGTGAATATAAAAGCTGGGGACCAGGAGTTCAACAAAGTGGCCGAGCAGTTCAACGCCGCCTTTGACACTGACGGTGTGCGAAGAAAGAAAATCGTTCAACTGCTGAGAATCCAGAACCCACATTTATATAAGCAGTATAAGACATACAGTGCTAAACTGGAGCGTGAGAACCAAGGGATGTAAGTGCACATTGGATCCATCTTGAGAACTTTATGCAGCTTATAAACTTACATATAATATAGATTTTTTTTAGATTTATTCGAACACATATTCACATTGAACATAAATCAACTTTGCATCAATAAATTAAAAAGGGCGAATGATCTTTATCACAGCTCTTCATATCTGCAGCTTTTTCGTTAGACTGTGGTGTATAACTTTATAGAATGTCACTGTTGCTCAGTGAGCAGTGCAATAAACATAATGTTTGCTTTCTGTAGGAACAATGAGATGTCACTTTTTCATGGAACGTCAGAAGCTAATTGCGATTACATAAGCCACCAAGGGTTTAACAGAAGCTTTGGTGGATTAAACGTTGGTAAGTGAATTCATTAAGTCCATTGTTCAGTTTATTAAATCCAGTGCTTGTTTAGTGAATGATAGCTTAAAATTATATGTTCTGAACTTAAAAGGGAAATCCGTCTACATCACAGTGATCTTACCAAAGGGCACTTTTTATTATGGATAAAATCTGTTGGTGTTGTCGTTTATCTCATGAAAATATAATACACATTTTTGCTGAAAAGTGCTTCAGAATATTTTGAACAGTAACGCTCTTGTTTCATGTATGCAGGCGCCATCTTTGGAAAAGGGGTATACTTTGCCAAAAAAGCCACCTATTCTGCCCAGCCCTGTTACTGCAAGCCTAATGCAGCCGGGGAGCAGTTTATGTTCCTGGCCAAGGTACTTGTTGGATCCTACACAAAGGGACACCGCAAGATGCTGACTCCTCCCCCTAAAGATCCTGATAAACCACTGGAGACATACAACTCTGTGGTAGACAATACAAAAACACCGACCATTTTTGTGATATTTTATGACGCGCAAGCCTATCCCGAATATCTAATTAAGTTCAAGGCATAGTTATTACGTTAATACTAGAGCAAAGTCATAATCTCAGAATGAAATACTGGTATTGGAGATGTTATTTTTGCCACAAATCCATTCTGGCAAGCCTAAATAAAAAGACTAATGGTGACGTTTTGTGAGACTAATGTAATACTTTGATTGATTGATTTTAGTTTGATGAATTGTTTCATTGGTTTTTTAATCCCTTTTTTTTTTTTGTCATATATTAGAATCTTACTGCGACCTTGAATTTGACCTACTTACTTTTCACCATAAACCGCACTTATATTTACTTTTGAACTTGGATGGGAAGTCTTATATTCACCACTCTTACTGCAACCTTGGATTTGCCCTTTCACCCCCCCCCCCACGATTTTGTTATAAATAGCAATTTTCTACAAAAAAAAAGAGAAATCTGTTTATTGCAATTTGTAGAGCTTGTCAAGCACAGCATTGGTGGTGGTGTCCCTTTTTTGGTTTACCATACGAGTGCGCTTACTCCAGCTGGTGGTACAATACCCGGAGGCAGTAACGCCTCTCTGATCCTCCACTTTGAAACCATAGTCGGAAAACTGTTTATTTTTGCAGTCTAAGAATGATATGATTTTGAACATATTTTTTCGTTGAAAAAGATTAGCTGTTAAGAATGTCATTGCAAGCTGGAATTGGACACTTTTTACTTATTATTTCTGAAATAAAGTGCCATTTGCTGTTAGATTGTACTCAGAACATACTCTTTTATTGGCGTTTAATATGGATGATATAAAGTGAAAGGAATTGAAACGTTTAGTGCTGCAGGATTTTAAGGCACTTTAAACATTATTTATTTATTAATTTATTTCTGGGCACGGGCATCGATGTTTAAGGGCGCTACTTAGGAGCGTGGACTTCGTGAATAGTGTCAAATTATCGCCATAACTAATCGTCAGGTACAAGGGTATCACGTGATTTCTGTGAGCCTATGGGAACAATGGCAGCTCTATACAACACTGCCTCATAATTTCACAAATGTTAGTGTTCCATAAGGGCAAATCAGAAAATATTTTTTCACAGGTATGTACTTTAAAACGAAGGAAGGCTTTTCAGTAGAATTGTACTTTGATGTCAAAAATACCAAGTTCTGGTGTCGAAATTTTGCGTTGCACATGCCCCCCCCTTCCCCCAATCGGACCACAGCCGTTGCCTGGGGACTGCCTTTCTTTCGAGTAAAGCAATCGAAAGTACATGTGTGCTTTATTCAATGGTCGGTTGTTCATAGCATTGATCAATATTATGATCACCTTCCTGAGCATAATTCTAGAATGCCCACAACTTTCTTAACCTGGGCTCCGTATCTCGAAAGCATCGCGCATTGCGACCGTGCGCAAGCGTCTCCATTCCATAACTCGCCCATACTCGCCCCATATAATACATTGTAGCCTCTATGTGACATCGCTATTCGCAATACGCGATGCTTTCGAGATACGGGGCCCTTGTCTTTTCAACCCTTACCCAGTGAATCGACTTTTTTACAGTTGAACTAATAATCACCAAATGCATCGTCACTGTAAGATCGTAATGGCGAAGAATAATTCTCCAACACGAGACTATAATGCTAATAGAAATAGGTACACAATCATTTGTTTTCTAATCGGGGATAGGGTCCAATACGGCACGTGCTTCGCTGCGCGTAAAAAGGACATGCAGTCTCACTTGCTTTAGTGACCATTCCGCTTTTCATTGCGAGACTGCAGTGAAGGTAAGGCGTGACAATGTAGATACTTTCATCAATGCAGTAATTTGGGTTTTGTGTTGGCATTATATGTCTGCTATAATCTAGGTCCGTTAGATAAGAAATTGCTGGAGATTTTTTATCAATTCACACCAGTTTCACTAAAGAACTGAGGCCAAAAATTGGTCTAAACTGAAGTTACTAGTAATTTGATCAACGTCAGTTAAAGTCAAACCATGGTTTTTCACTCTAATAGGGTACTGCCCTATAACATTAACTATAGTTTGTTTTAGAATCCGGGAAGATTTGTTATTTTATTGCACTATAACTGATTTATTTTTGGTCAAAGTAGACTAAAATTTAAACTTAGAAGTTCAGAACAGTCTTTGAGCGTAAGTTTTTAAATATTGGCATGTCGGTAAATATGATAAAGCGTAAAGTCTACAACAAGTTTATGAATCTTGGTTTGGGCGTATTAATCATAAAGTTTACCTTAGTGATAAGCTTAAGAAACGGAAACGGAAGAAATTTCTCGAAAAAAATTCGCAATTACTCATTTTCAATAAAATAGGCCCACTTGAAGAAAATAAAAACGTGAAAAATGAAGTTAAAGATATAATCGCTAATTCTAATAACGGTTTTAATAACGAAAGTTAAGAAATAACAACCTTGTTGGATAATACTTGCACTTGATCAATACTAGCAAAATTAGACTGCGCTAAAGCGGTATTTCGAGATGCACGTATATTTTACTGACACATTTTGTCCTCGGCCTCAAGTATATTTTTTCACAATGCCTGATAACGAATGCTTTTGCATTACTAGTACTTTTTAGGAGAATGCAGTTAAGCCGTGTTTTCTGTAAAACATTTAACTGTGCCCTGATACCATATCGTCTAGCTTATAATGGATGTTATTGAATTGAAGATTTTATTATGGCTTGAATATTATAAAAACATCCAACAACTAAAAATGATTGTCTTCGACAAAAGACGTAACGAAGGTTATTTCAATTTAAAAAAAAACCCGGCGACACCGAGAAAGTAGTATTTATTGAGTGACTAGAAATAAATATTCTAGACATTTTCTGAGATGTAAGACACCATTATTGCCACCTGACAAATTGCATATTTTCTACTTTAGAAAAAATAAAGTTAACTTGGCGAATGTAAGATGGTGCAGCGAGTGACAGTAACGAAGGTTTAAATCTAGGCCGTTTATGTTTTTTGTAATAACAGATAAATCTAGTAATTATTGTTTTTGTTGCTCGACTGATGTCAGTTAAGTTCCACTTGGAGACAAAATTATTCCGCTTGCTAAACCTAGTATTGAGAATGAATGTTTTAGTGTGCCCTTAAGCATACCTGCTTAATGTCACGCTCATTAAAGTGATAATATGCGTTTTAAGTGGCATATTACCCGAGGAAATGTGTCGAACTGTTAACTTAACGATATCTAAATGGTGTTTGATATAGTACTTTAAATATTAAAACCTTTAAAATGGATAAATTACTCGAAGAAAAAGACACCGTTTTTATCCATTTCATGTTATTAGTTTCACACTCGGTTGTCTTCGGTAATTGCTTGCCCGCCCGCAATTCATTTACGTCTTGCTCTAGTCTATGCTTGTTCGAGTCATTTTATCAGATAAAAAATTGATTGTCTGTCAGTTAAATCTTACTTGTCAGGGGACGTTGATTTATAGTTCACAATTGCGTAATTTGCGGAAAACCTTTACATTTCGTCATAGTTACCTAGTATGTAAACTTACCGCCTAAGTGAAAGAGGGCAGTTGACATTGCAGAGTTAAATGTACGCCCATGTAAAGCATTATTTTTAATGGTTTTTAAAAGCTTTATTTTAATGGTTCAAAGGAAGATTAAAAAGAGACCGTTTAAACTAATTGAAGTTGCTGATGGAGTGCACGCTTTGCGGGGTCATTTTAACGAATGTTTTGCTTACGCACGTACATTAGGCCACACTTTTTTATTTTTATGGATGACATCCTCTGGGGACCCCAAAATCAGTGCGAGCGGGCGAAAAAAAAAAAAAAAAAAAAAATGCTTAAAAAAAGTTTTTTTGAAAAGGGCCTCATTNGATGTCATCCATAAAATTAAAAAAGTGTGGCCTTATCATTTTAAAAATAGCACTTGTAACCATTTTAAGGCAAATAAAATTCGCGAGAGTTCGATAAGCCCCAAAAATATTTTTCTGGACATTTCAGCAATTTTCTGTTTATCATGCCAATCCAAAACCATTGGAACAATTATCATTTGCAAATCCGTTTTCAAGGCCACATTGTAACAATTTTAAGGCATATACAATTCGCGTTAACTTGATAAGCCCCAAAAATTATTTTTCTGGACATTTCAGCAATGTTCTTTTTATCATGCCTATCCAGAACCATTGCAACAATTATCATTTGCAAATCCGTTTTCAAGGTCACATTGTATATTTTTGCCACCAACTTCTTTACGCAGGAGAGAGATTCGTAAACCGGAATCAGAAGTCGAAAACTAGTTCATAGATCGCAATTTTGTCAGTGGTTTTGGGTATAATTCACCTTGGTGATTAATCAATAATGCTGCAATTTCTAGTAAAAATTAAATATATTTAGATCGAATGTATGTCCCACGCCTTTAATCTACAGTCGAAGTCGTACCAGTAGATCTAAAAGTTAAAACAATTTATTGGACTCAAAATAGTTACTTTGGGCGTATCTGTGCAGTTGCTCCATAGAAACGTGCTTAGTAATGTGAGAGAGACAATCTACATGGAGGTTATTACCAGCGGTGTTTTTTGATGTTCTCGCACATTTTCTGTTGCTATGTAATCTATCTGTAAGGCCTACAAATGTGTTTTTAATATATAAACTAGTGAAGACTGTCTTCCAACATAATACCAATGCCGAGATCTACCCTGCACTTCAATGCTGTAATATGTCTCATTAAAAGCATCTTAACCACACAAGTTGTAACAAAATGCAAATGACATCTAACGTCAGGTTCAGGGTCAACATACATTTAAGACGGGAATAGAACAAATTTCCTCGACCGTCACAAAGAACGTGCGGAAAGTCTTGAGAGCCTTGAGCATTGGTTATATATGTGCATCTCGCCCATACATATAAGATTTTAGTATAAAAAAACGTAAATTGCTCTACTGGATGGTCTATGAATGAGCCAATGAACAAAATACATGAATTGGAACAGGGTATCCACCTTCTCTAATGAAAAAAGTGGAATTTCTTTCTTTTTGTCAACACACACACACACACACACATATATATATATATATATATATATATATATATATATATATATATATATATATATATATATATTAGGGTACTCGAGAAATGACTGTTATCAAATAAGCTGTCATGATATGTCATGTATCGTGTATTTTAAAGAAAATCTTGAAACATTGATTTCACAACGTTATATATTATTTATCTTTGTGGAAAACATGGTTTATTAATCATATTATTTTATTTTGTTTAAGAGAACGTTAATTGGTATATATTTTTTGTTTTAATTATTTCCATTTTGATTATAAACACTGTTTCTAAAATATGAAATGGTCTAAAACAAAATTATATGTTGTGGTTGAAATTGCGCCAATTATTCAACCCGCAGTGTTATCAATTAGATATAAAGGGAACATAATCACCATTCAAATTTCCTATTAAGGTAGTCCTCTCATATTAGCTTTTTTTGCGATCTGCGCAGGTTTCGCGCATGAGTAGTTTTTTGAGATAGCGGCTAATTATGAAAATAAAACATGCAATAAAATACGTAATTCATCTTTTTAAGAAATCTGTATGAAATCTTTGATGTTATTTTGGTCGAAGCGCTACGAATATGTCAACTATGCGTTGCGTATGAGTGAACGCTTGGTCTTTTACGACGTAAAGTACCCACTTGCGACTTTGTTTACAAATACCGCATGTAAGAAGTTACGCGAAGAAGGGATTGAAAAGAGCGTTTTAGTAAGGCTTGTATAGCAGTGACATGATCTTATCTCACGGAAAACATTCACAAGGGCTTGTATTTTGACCACAAAGTGTATTG